ATGTTACGACTGGCGAAATGGCGGCAAATAAAAACTTTTCTCACGTATGTCACACAACCGTAGTTTTAATTTTTAATTCCTAAACAAACTAGAATCGGCCCCAACTATCATATCGTTCGATATCAAGTAACGTGCGAAATTGTCAAATTGTTTGCTATTGACATTTCATATCGAATAAAACTTCATCTCGACTGATATTAGAATTGAGGTCCAATCAAATTGTTTTATTTTTCAAAGATGTCGTAATTTGAATGTAATAATAACATAAAATTCGATGTTATTATGAGTTTCCTTTTCTTCCATCCTCTAAGTTATGAAGCAATAATAACATTTTCACAGATAAAAAATTTGTTCTAACAAAACAGTCTTTATGCTGGTCGTAATCTGCGGTTTTTGAACACATTATAGAGAGTGTATGATATGTGTGTAGCTAAAATATATTAAAATGTTTTGATTTTTGATGTATTTCACATTATATTAATACACTGTGGTCTCGTGAAGGCCTGCGGCTTTTTTGTCTTTTTTTATACAAAACCAATATGGCGGACCGGTAATGTTCATGCCATCAGTAGAAAAATCTAGTTCTTTAAAAATCTGTAACGACAGAACACTAAGGCGATTATCACACGCGACGGAGCGCGTTTTTTAACGTTGTACTGAAGTACCTCACTTTGTACGGAAAACACGTGCTATCGACCACACTGAAGACGCTTCTCAGCGGTTTCACCGCGCCCCGCGCGGTGGGGCGCGGCGAACCGCAGGATGTGGCACACTGCGCTCCGTACTACCGCGCAGTTTTAAGCTTAAGGACATTTTCAGTTTTGTACAATAGATCTCGACGTCGATAAATTTATATTTGCTGTTGAAAAGCGATCAAATTTATCTTCGTATTTTCTTAAATCTTTGTAATGACGTTGAAATTATCAATTTGTCGATCTGGCTCGTAAAAAGGAATGTATCTAATATCTTCGGTGTCTTTATTTGAGTAAACAAAAATCAAATAGATAGTATAACTGTAACATCCTGAATGAGTTCTGTATTATTAACCATTCTTGTCAAAGAAGGGTCTCGGCTACATATACAATCACTACGACGATCAACTGCGAAGCTAGTACTTTAAGTGACGTGAGATTAAACCGGGCTTTGACGCAGATGTGCGTCTCCGCCACCGCGCGCGTGATTCCGCGTCACGTGCTCCGTCGCGGGGCGCGGTGCAGTGTGTAAATTGCCTAAAAGCCGGCTTTACATTTGTCTGACGTGTCGTACCGTGACGAGTCAGAACGATACCGTTTTCTTACACACAGCACAAGCCGTCACGTCAAATTGCGACACACTAATATAAATCTAACCACTAAAAAACTTATTTACTTAAATATCTTTAATGGTGATGGTATATCGAGTTGTTTCGTATTGTTCCAGAAGCTGGAATAGACTAAAGAGCAGTGTTAATTAATTAAACACTTTGATAATTCCATCATACATTTGTTGGTATTGTATACTAACTTGGACGCAACGCAGATTAACAAATTGGCAATATGACCAGCGATCAGGTGAAATGCTTCATAAGGATCCTTTTGCATAGTGGTTATGTTATCGTTCATTCCTAGAAGATTCATGTATTGAGAGAATGGCACAGATTGTAGTATCTATTGTAATAGTACCGTAACTTACGCCTACAAATAAAGATTTTCGCCAAAAACAGAAAAAAAATGTTTTAGTAGATCACCCAACTGTAATATAAGTTTACATTGAAAATATAATATATATATATATATATATATATATATATGAGTTGACCGTTCTGACCAAAACATAGGAGTGTACAGAACTTCAATTAGAGGCAAGAAGTGGCATTTTTCTTTGATATCGCATTGTCTTGATATGGCTGTTCATAACGCTTGGCAGCTGTATAGAATTAATGGCGGTGAATATGACCACCTGAAATTCAGAAGAAGCGTTAAAACAAGCTTATTCGAAACTTACGGAAAATCAGGAAAGCGTAAGCCAGGCCGCTCTTCTCAATCTAAGCATGAAACGTCTCGATACGATGAGGTAGGGCACGTCATAAAATGCAGACCAGAGCAACTTCGATGTGGATTATGTCACAAGCACGCTAACTCTTATTGCAAATGTGCCGCTAATTTGCACCCCAAACATTCTTTTGAAATGTATCACACTACTTGACTTTGTTATGATAATTATAAAACTTAAACAAATATGCATATATGAGCAATCATACAAAACATTATTATTCCTAAATAAACTAGTTATTGTACTATTATTCTGACATTAAAACTAATTCGTTTTTAATATATAATTTATATAACGAAACGTCGGTTTGTTTGAAAAAACAAATATACGCGATTTAAATCCGGAAAAATAGTTTCATTTCCTATCAATAGATTTTTTCCTGTATTTTTCCTAACTTTCTTGGGCTTTAAATATCCTACATTGAAAAAACTAAGATGATCCTATGAAAAACATTTTGTGAAGAACATTTTGGTTGCAGTAATATCTGGGTTAAAAAAAAGTGTAACTAACTCCTATGACTGACTAGACTAGACATTGGTAAAATCCTTCAAGAGACGCCAGAAACTTAAAAATAGAATAGAATAAATATTATCATACTAAATGTATGAAACCGATACCGTTCTGACGCGTCACGACACGTCACGTCAGACAAATGTAAATCCGGCTATACTCACAGGGAGACCGTAACCAGGGGGCCTACCACAACCTCTTAAAACAATATTACTTTAACCTTATATTGACTTTTCGTACCATAACGCGCTTAAAGTAAGCTTATTGTATTATTAAAACTATGATATTTTATTGGCAGCTTTGTGACTATTCATTCACTCAGTTCGTATTATGACGCGACTTTAACATAAAGTAATATTGCCCTTATGTCAAATTTAGCAATCTTAAATAGTTATACGGATACAATGGAAACAATATTATTTTCAGTTTTATTGTCCTAATATTGATTTAGTAAATGAATTTTTGAATGTAATGATTAAAAGTTAAGTTGAACTTATTTATTTATTTATTATTATCTCTTCAATATTTTGTTTATTTAATAGCACATAGTAAATAATTTTTCGTTAAATAAAAATACGCGATGTTTATTTCGTGGAATTATAACAGCGCCATCTATATGCTCCTTGGCGAAACTAACAGTTGACACTAGACTATAGTTCCGAATTCACAACGTGACTATTAAAACTCAGCTTGTTTTGGTTGTTTTTCGTCATGAAAATGAGAAATAATTATTGAAAACAACGTAATTTTAAGATTTATTTATTACATACTTTTCTTTTTTTAACAGTCAAAATTCTCTGAATGTAAATAACGTTAAGTACTTTAACATTATACTACGCTAACACGTATCGGAACTTCAAAAAAGAAAGAGATGGCATTATACAGTTCATATAGCGTTATTTCTTTCCCACTTTTAGTAAGGAATAGACAATATTGGAAAATCATTCGTTCCTTCAGTCACTTCAGCAATAATACATTACTTGGTTGATAGGTTTGTCATGGTACGAAAATGAGTAATATTATAATAAGCTTCCTTTATGCTCACATTGAATTAAGATTGTTTTTGGAAAGGTTATGGTAGGCCCTCTGGAGATGGTGCAGACTTGTGTGTGCAAAACGATACATCTGTTTTATTTGATAATGCATGTAAGTCAATAAAACAACTATTATAACATATTTAGAAGTAAATATATATTTACAACTTTATTCAGACTATTTACATCGTTATGTATCTATAATATAATTTTTTGTCTATTACTATCACAAATGCTTTATATAATTGTATATTGCTTGCACTAGAAACATTTTGATCGTCTATTTTTTATTGATCGACAAACTATTCGAAGATATAAAAATTTAACAATAATAATCGTGAAAAATTTAATTAATGTACGTATACATAGGTACCTTGTTTACTTTGTACAATCAGGAAAAGCTATATACAGGGTGTCCCAAAACCCAACGTTAACCTGAGAACAGGATGATATTTGATAAATGGGAGTCATGTTTTTTGTGATATAAGCATTTTAATGAAAACGTTCTTCAGATTTAAACCCCATAGACTTTTTTACTGAGGTTGTCTGAAAGAAAAAAGTTATACAACACCTATATCAAACGTTGCCGAATTACGACGAAGAGTCACGGAAGCTGTGCAACACATAAATTTACGACGATTTGTACGATTGGTGAAAAGGTCATTTTTAAGGCGTTGCCATGCATGTATTGATGCCGGTAGAAAACAGTTTGAGCACTTGCTGTAGTTTGTAATAAAATATAATAATTTATTCATTACTTTTATTTAAATTCCTATATCTGTCGAGAAATGTGGAATTTTGAGACTGTTTGCCTCACTCAATCATACTTACCATTTTTACTAGTCAATCTAACTCCGACATGGATATCAAACCTAAATTAACCTTAGAGGCACTGAAAGCCATTTTCACTTAGAAAAGGTAACCTTTTTAAATTGGCCTCCTTTTAGAAAAACCAAGACAATTTTCTTCCAAGCAGCATGACGTGGAAGGTTTTATACCATTTTAGAATCTTGATTAGTTGCGTGTGTAAGGAGTTGCCATGGCAGTCTAGGTACATATTTTTTACAGTATGGGGTGTGAAAGTTACCTTGAAAAAAAAATCTGCTAAAATTAAATACATTGTTGTTATATTTATGTGCTGAAACTTTAGCAATTCGGGTTTTCTTTGGCATTGTGTTAATTAGCTGGGCTATTTAGGTTACCGTTACAAAAACTGGAACAGCAAAATTAGCAAATTGGTAATTGTAGTAATTAAAAATGGTGTACAGGTCATACATTTTCAATATTTTTCATTAAAATGCTTATATCACAAAAAAGCCATGATTCTGATTTTTTAAATATTTTTTTCTGGGTTGTTACAAACTAGGCAACAGCATGTTCTCAGGTTATCGTTGAGTTTTGGGACACCTGTATACGTTTAAGTGATAGCTATTTATTAGTATTTTAATTCACTCTTATTACGAGTACTTATGTATTTGAAGTGTACATTTTCTTAAATTATACAAAAAAGAATAACCTATTCAACCCATATACGTGCCACTTCTGGGTAAGGGTTTCTTTTAAGAATAAGTTGTAGGCCATAGTTCGCTTTGTTAATCTAATTTGAATTGGATTGAATTATTTATTTTGCTATACGTACATAACCATTAATCACGTTGATTTAATTAACAGAGCTACAGTACCTACATAAATCTTCGTTAGTTTATACAAAGGGTTAAATTTTACCCGAACAAAGCAACTGGGTTCATTTTGATTTCAAGTAAGTATAAACAATTTGTTCTCAATATAAATTGTCCCAGGCATTTTCGTTACATTAAAATTTACTAATATCCTCATCTATATAAGATCAAAACGTAAAGAAATCATAAAAAATCAAACATTCTTTCGATCCAGCTGGAATTGAACTAGCCACTTCGACAAACCGGAGCTGCCACCCGGATCGAAGAACTTTTCTTTGTGTCGGTTCGATATTTGTATCAATAATAACAAACATCTCCTATGTATGTAGTAACTGCGTAAGAACACCGCATGTTTGTGTGCATGCGGAATCAGCTCACTTAAATGTCCTTATTTAGTCTATTATATACAATTATAAAAATCTATAGGCACATATTTAATAAATCTATAATACTTTTCTAAAAAATACGTTTTACTAAGGCCCAATTCTACAGACATTAAAATAATTTAACTGGGTTGCAAAACACTATCAAGTTGTACTTTGATTTTTTTAATAGTCTAACAATACTTAATTTTTTACTATATACATATAATGTTTTACAAAGCATTAAATTATGATATGTACAAAATAGGTTTTATTTAATATTTCTTACAGATTAAATTTGAGTTTCATTGCTCTATTTAATAAAGTAAGTGGTTGGAAGCAACTTCAGGAGCTTCTATCTCCAGACATATAAATTTATTAGTATGTCTTCGATTTGCAATTCTGAAGTCTGTTTTAATTTTTTAAAGTACTGATGACAAACTCAGCACCTTCTATTGTACTAACTTCAAGAAACTTCGGTTGCTTTCACGCTCCTTGTGAAGCTATACTTTCTTTCTTAAGTGTCTTGGTCCTGCCACTGAAGTAGTCTTCAATCTCCTGCAGTGTTCTGCCTTTCGTTTCAGGTAGAAACATATAGAAAAATGCAATACCTGGAAAATATAAGGTGTATTTTAATAACACTTCAAACGGATGTTTATTTAATTTTAGGACTTTTGTTCTAGATAACATGCCAGTCCTATAATAACCCTATTCTAATTGTCATACTATTTACCGTGCAAACGATTAAACGCCCAGTTACACGACGAGAAAGATCTCGTGCGGCCGTACACGTACGTACAGTTTAGGGGAAAATTGAATTCTTTTTATTAGGCAACAACGTTTAAATTCCTCGGAATAATACAACCGAGCGGTCACCGCGTAGACCAAAGACAAACCAGCCTCTCATTTAAGTTAAAACTTAAATACTAAATAAATAGAGCGGGTTTTGCCATGACAGTTCGATCTCTGAACAAGTGCACGCGATCGCTGCGCGGCGGCGATAAGCGGCAAGCGCGGTGAAATTCGTGTCGAATAAACGCACCCTTACCGTGTCACACATTTTCGTATTTCGTAATAAGGGTTCGAAAAGATTCTTTGAAAGAAGTTAATGTTGGAGTGATTCAATCAAAAAAAGTCTGTCGGCCACTGCCACCGAGCCCGGCATTTCTTGACTTGACAAGTCTCGTGTGCCGGTAATTTCATCCTTCAAAACCCGAACACAGTAATGCTCACAATTGTGTTTGACGGCAGAAATAGGTACAGTACTTCCCCAGATGAACTCATTCACAAGTAGCTCTACTGTTACTATAATACACTTCTAATAATATACTCCTATATATAAATTATATCCTCCTAATGATCCAACAATCATTTATATGAGTTTTTAGACAGTGGGCTAGAATAGAAGCAACACTAACCTGCTATAGATAATGCCCCGTAGAGACCGAAGACACCGTAATCGTAAAGCGCGTGACGCAAAAATGGGAAAGTCTTCACTACCGAGAACACTGAAAGATGAGCGGCCATTGTCGTCATGCCACCCACTATACCACGAACCTGAAAAGTATATTTAGCAAGTTTATTAAAAAAAGATATTTATGGCAAAAACTTCACGTAAAAAGGAGTACGGTTGAAATTTCATGAAACTGAACAAGTTTCTGTATAGAGTCTATTTGTACGGAATGAGTTATTGGGAATGTTGAAAAATCTATTTGAAATATAGTTTCGTATTTATCATAGGTAGTCATCCTATGATATTTCACTCCACTTTTTTAGATCCTGTGAATATAGCACACTTTGAATAAGCAGCAAAAGTTGCTAATGTATTTGAAAAAGGTGGAAAACCTTTATGAGTTTTCATTATTAAATCGCCTTTGGTGAATAAGGCTAGTGTAATACATTGGTACAAATCATCAAAGTCCAATAATTACAAGTAAGCAAATGAGAGATATACTATAATCCTTACAATGTTAATTTTTTTTTTTTATCTTCGGTCGAAATTGACCGCACTGTTAACCGTGTTTTAGAAAATTTGAAGAGTTTATTTCCTAACCGGGAATCTGAACAAAACAAGAGAAAAATTATACTTGCATACGTAGCGAAATTATCTAGGAAATTTTTGAGATTGTAAAATATTTATATATTGGCAAATGGAATGATAAAAGTATTGTAGCCATTCAATTTACAAAAAATGGATTGTGATTTCGACCACATCATACATTCACACTTATGTTGTAAAAAGGCCAGATATGTAAAATGACAACGTTTCAGGAGAAAGGTTTAAAGATTGTTCGAACGAAATTAGTCAATAACTTTTTATGCTTAAATAGGAGAGTTATAAAATTAAACATAAACATTATGTGTTTCATGCAGTAAAGTAAAATAAGACAATTATTTTGTGATGATTCTCAGATGATAAAAGCACTTTTGTCGTGTGATCACATGTGATGTGATGCTTTATTAGGGTACTAAAATACTCCACGACCTAAACTGTGACTTTTTTTATTTTACTCCACTATTGTAGTTGGTAAAAACCTACCTGAGTAGGATAAACCTCGCCGATCATGACCCAAGGTATAATCAAGTAGCCCAGAGTACATGCAATCATGAACACGTAGATAGCCGCAACTGGTATCCATGTGAATAGGAACGGCATCGAATTATCTTTCCAATACTTTACGAAATAGAGATACACCGAAAGTATTATCATGGTAGAACCGCAACCCACAGCTGAAATATGTAAAATATTGCTTATGGTTTATGAATAAATAATAATATTGGTTACGCAGTAAAATCTTTATGGAATATAAAGTAAAGGTCTGCTCTTTGGTCGGCCGTGTAAATTGTCAATTAAAAAAATACGAAAAGCAAAATCGTCGCGTAACACCAAAGAAGGAAATAATAATAACATAAATAATCTATACATATAACACCAATGATTTTATAAGTATATTTTTTACTTAGAAAATCTTGGCGTAACACCCATTGAATGAAAGTGGAATTCCCTGACCATAGACATCTTCACTAACTTGGGCCTTCAAGGCGAGATGAATATGCATTATTTAGGTGTGTATGCTCCATCGCCGACCTCATCGTCATTTTCCATTAGGTGATATGGAGGTATTTGACCTCCGCGCATTTAATATTTTTTTTATTAAAAATACTGGAGTTTGTATCACATGGTATCACGGATTACAATGTTTATTATTAAATATATACAGGTTTTTCCATATTCCCGCATTGTGCATAGTTCACAGTCATCATCAGTGCTGCTCAGCTAGAATCATCAGGTGAATGGATGTTTATCAAGTCCCATTTGTATCCAACTCCAGTACCAGACACACACACGCATGTTTTTTTTTGGCTATTTCTGGAGTACTATAATGGCACTATACGACCTACATTTTCAATAATTTATGCATTCATCGATCCGTATCCCATTACTTGGGATTAGCGTAGCACTTCTTGTTCATCTCTATCACCTGTCACCTCGTTATTACGTTCAGCCCTCGTAGTATGGCTACGCATGATAATCGCGACGCGCGCGATAAATTGAAGTAAGCGCGCGCTATTTATTGGCTGTCTGAATCAGATCTAATTTAGATACCCAATAGCGCCCGCTTGTTTCAATTTTATCGCGCGTGTCGCGACTATCATGCGTAGCCATACTACGGGGGCTGATACATATTATCTTCAATATGAATGATGGCTTGAAGCGAGAGCAAACAAAAGATAGACGAATTGTGTAAATATGTTCGCCACTCGACGATATTTCATCCCAATGGGTTGGATCTATTCCATGAGTTATTTTGCCCATTATCACTTCAACTCGCTAATTATGTCACTTACCGGATACAAACGTAAGCGGTCGTCTACCAAATCTTCTACACATAATGCAGCCCGCCACAGTGGAAATAAGGCGAAGGACACCAAGTGACATTGTGGCCCAATACTTGTCCATTGATGTTCCTGAAAACTGGTAAATCATACAATGCTTCAACTATCAATACATACAAAAATTGTCGGATTTTGTGGAGGTTGGCGGTTTGTTGTTAGATTGGATAAATGAATTAAACTTAAGAAATATAATATATATATTATATATATATATATATATATATATATATATATATATATATATATAT